GCAACGCAGTAAATTGTGTCTTATATTCAAGCAAGAATATAAACTTTCTTTATCTTTTGTTGAAGCTGATGTTTATCGGTAGAAGTAGAAGTTTCTTGGTCGAGGCCATATTGTAAAATACTAACAAAGTAAACCAAATTAGTGTAAGAAAATAAAAAGGATCGCTGATTCCATTAATGGTAACATCAAAATCAGGCAACGTGCACATCCGTCAATGTAGTCAAATTCAAACCCAAAGCTGTTTGGGAAATGTGACATTCAGGTATAACATACCTGGAACGCAAAACAAACATTAACAAGTTTTTTAGAATATTTATACCCCCATCTAACTATTATGTCAAACAAAGGGCCATCTAACTATTACGTCAAACAAAGGGCCATCTAACTATTACGTATTATGTATGCGCTGAGGATGCGCATGACATATTTGATTGGGGGGGGGGGGGTCAATAGACTGCACCCACATTTATGCATACAATAATTATCCTGACAGTCTCTTATAACGCCAACTTTCATCTAAGAAATCAGTGAATTCTAATTAGGCCTTTTATTATTATTATTATAATGCGCATGACATATTTGATTGGGGGGGGGGGGGTCAATAGACTGCACCCACATTTATGCATACAATAATTATCCTGACAGTCTCTTATAACGCCAACTGTCATCTGAGAAATCAGTGAATTCTAATTAGGCCTTTTATTATTATTAGTATTATTATTAAGGCTATAAAAATATTACAATATATCGCAGTAAGCATAAAGGCCTTCTCATATACTCGTATAAGCTACTAATGCTTTGTGTTTTCATAAAGAGATCCCTGTAGTTGTAAAATTGAACATGACATAGTGTGATAACACACTGTAGTCCAGTAATTCGTCTTTCCGTGCTGGTGACATAATCATTTCCACCAGGCAGGGAAACCCCCCCCCCCATATTACTGGGAAAAAAATTGAGCCATCACTGATTTTTTCCGTTAATAAAAGGGGTGGTATGGGGGGCTAGTATTAGTAGTGATACCAAAATGACGTATTACGATTGTTGAGGGTAAAGAGCTGCTTTGCGAGTTCTACCAATATTGAATATTGTTTAAATGTCGCTGACTAGATCTTATAAAAAATTGCCCACATCCAACGTTCCAGTGCAGAACAGTGGGATCATGTATTTTAGTGTAAAAACCTCGTCTCTAGTTTTCTCCGTTTTCACAATCGCCGCGGTTCAAGGGAACAAAACTACGTTACACGCTGGGTAGCAGTCAAAGGGGATGGTGGTGAAGCGGTCGCTAGGGCGACTAGTATAAATATTACCGGTGACGCAGCTAACTAGTTCACTGCGACACTCAAAGCAACAGTATGACAATCATCACTATCAATACGACAATTTGAGGTGATATTTTTATAGCCTTTGACACTCCGACAAACCCCCTACCCATGCGTCCCGTATGCCTCAAATGTCCATCAACAGCCCCCACCTCCCCTCTCAGTGCGTACATTATATAATGAAGGAGGTACCCAACTTTAAAAAAAAATTACAACCAATCGTTTTCCTCGTTCCATTCACCAGTAGATTTCTATTAGAAAGGGCTAAAACTTCAACAAACTAAAAAAAAAACATTTTTTTAATCGGACATTTTTTTTTTCCACCTGGCCTCTAAAAATCGTAGTTTTGGCGGGTTTCGGTGTACAATCGTAAAAGACATCTCAAAATCGTACATTGTACGCCAAAATCGTAAGAGTAAACAGGTCTGAAACATAAACGTATTCTTACTTGCTTTTAGCTTTACGTCAAATTGTTCTTCGTGTTTCTTAAAGGCTATGTAAAGTCTTCAAAATATGGCACATGTCTAATGACGGCTCTAAGATGGCGAACCAACAGGAAGTGACCAATCATAACCATCACGTGACCAACCGCATAGATAAATACCTCACGTGACCAGCTCGGTCCGAATAGCCATTTGGAACTATATACCTATAGCCACTCCGTTTTAATTATTGTAAAACAAGCTGCAAAATTCTTGGTCGAGTTTTGTCCACAGTTCACAACCTCAGATACCATCCTAAACATAATTTACTTTTGAAAACCAAAATAATAATAATAATGTCATTATTATTATTGTTTTGGTTTTCAAATGAAGAAGCGTTGAAAATCCGCTCTCACCGTTTCTTAACAGCAATTCGGATCTTTATCATATTATTATTCAAACCGGGACAAACCAAATTAAAATGATTATTACTGTAAACTTTTAATATTATTTTTTTTTAAAATTAGATTACTTTCTCTTTTTTTTAAATTAGTTTAACTCCCCCACCCCCCCCCCCCCC